AGAGCCTGAAATTAAGATCTACTTATAGCTCGCTGTTGCACCTTGCCTTGAAAATTGTGTATTTGTGTATCACATGCCTGCAGAGACAATGGAATCCAATGGGAAGTTTTCATTTTAGCATGCGATCATTACTACTCTGAGGTTTTAGTCCTTGATTTTACTTTTTCCCCCCTCATGTTTTGTCAGTCCCCCAATTGACCCAGATTTCCTACATTCAGATACTGGAGGTGAGAAGGGGGAGATTGAGAGAGGAGAAAGGTTGGTTAGTACATGGCCAGTCAAGTTAAAGATGATTGCAACAAATGCCAGAAAACTCTACAAAACTATAGAGGCCTCCTGGGGCTAATTCTGAAGAACTGGGACAGAAGTTGCTTTGTTTTGCCTGGACCAATTGTTGGCTAGGAGGTTGGGGTGCAAAGAGGGTCATAAATTCTATGCCTGCAAGTGAAACCAGAGGATGGTGAGCCTAGAGTGACTACCCACATTGCACGGTTATGTCCAACTGCTACCTCCCCACCCCCACCCCCCAGGACTGTATAGCAAAGAGCCATGAGGGGCAGGATGGGGGCAAGGTTAGGACTGCCTTTAGCTTCCTGCAGTATGCCTAGCAGCTATTTTCTGAGCCATCCTTAAGGTCCAACCTTGGGTAAGGTACTCTCAACCCATTCTTCAGCCTCCTCCAAATGCTTCTGGAAAGTCGCCCAGAGGGGCACCGAGAAGTAGGCCCAGGATGCATTCTCTGCAGCAGCATAGTGCCAATCAGAGAAGGCGACCTCAATAACCATTTCGTTATTGCAAGGTATCTACAACCTCCATTACAAAAATTAACACCTGGCCCCACTTGACAAAAAAATTATGTTTACATTCAACATTCCTCCCCCTCCCCCACCCCGAATACGAGCTGAGTGCTTGCCCCTGCCCCAGTCAGCAGGGTTGTTAATCCCGAGGAAACGATTTGAGGCTTCGCCAGGCACTTAGGTGTTTAACGCCAAAACTTTCACAACTTCTCCCTGAGGAGGGGGCTGGGGGGGGGGGGGCGGCACGTCGCTGCCCTGCAGGGAGCCTGGCATCGGCAGGAGTGCCGGGGCAGCCTTCCCGCCGCCAGCGCGTCCTTCCCCGCAGAGAAGTTTGGGGAAACGAATCCCTACACCGGGCCATCGTTTCCCCTCGCGTTTTCCAAAGGTCAAAAGCCGGAAAGGACCGGCAGGTTGGCAAACCCTAACGAGGAACCGTCTCTAGCCAGTCTGCGTCCTTGGGATCTCTACAGCCGACGACCCCAGATCCCATCCATCGTGGGAAACCCCGGGGACAGGGCTGCAGCCGAGGGACGAGATTGCAGGCTGCAGGGAAGTACCGGGGGAGGGGGCCCGGTCGGGAGGACTTTCCAGCCGCTCGGCTTTCATCAAAAAGTTCCCTGTGCATGACCCCAGTGCCTCATCGCTGCTGGGAGTTTCTCTGATGAACCCCTGCTCCGGGTTTAAACTGCTTTTCCCTAGCAGGAGACCAAGCAGTTC